CAAGCACCTTCTGCCCGTGGTGTCCACCATCAATGACCGAGCCCAGTTTGAGCGTTTGAAGGGTGCCTTCGACACCGCCATCATCGGCTTCTTCCGCGACCTGGTGGGTGTTTGGGGTGGCCTAAAGAGGTGTTTTTGAGATGTTTACCGGGTCACAGTCGAATGGAATTGGGATGGTTGTTGATTCGAGGAAATGAGTTGTTTAGTCATGTGTAAGAATTTTGTGCCCTTTCCTTCGTTCAAATTCTTTCAGAACAGCTCAAGAATTATCATGGTCACGTTGCTACTGTATGGGGGGAGTCCTAAAAAGCGCCCAGTGTATCAATCATTCATAATTTCACAATCATCCTGTCTCACGCAGAGCAAACGTCACGAGAGCCCAACTTCCAATTTGCTTTGGCAGTTTTCACTTCCAGACGACGGAACTGGAACAGACAGAAACCCACATGGAGTCATTTGAAGAGCAATGTACACGTACCTAGACGCCATGGATGCGACATTTACCTATGACCCCTGAAACCACCGCAACGCCGCAACGCATGCTAACATTCCATACGGTTACGCCATTAAAATATGTGGAGGGCGGCCCAGGGTTGACCCTCCCGGAGGTAGTGTATAATTCCTATTCTGTCCGTATGTTTGGGGGCGATGGGCGGCTCCGCATATTTAAATGTGCAGTTCCTTCATCATTCACAACAATAAAAAGCAGCAGGATCTTGCCGGGCCTTATGTGGGGACCTTGGCTCCGCGCTAGACACCTCTCACAGTTTTTGCCATTGACACCCCTTCATGTTTAACATCCCTGTGCTTTGAGTGTGGTTGGAGCTTAAAGGAGACTTAGAAGCCGGCCCCCACGGAACTGCGATGAGTGCACCATTTTGGGAAAAGTCGTTTTGGAAACCATCCATGTAGGGGGGGTCCATTGGAAACCAACCATGTAGGGGGGGGTCCACATAAGAAGGGTCCACGTAAGAAAGTCGACGTAGAGGGATCCACGTAGGGGGGTCCACATAAGCAGGGTCCATGTAAGAGAGTCCACATTGGGGCTCCACGTAGGGGGTCCACATAAGCAGGGTCCATGTAAGAAAGTCCACATAGGGGGCTCCACGTAGGGGGGTCCACCTAAGCAGGGTCCACGTAAGAGAGTCCACGTAGGGGCCTCCACATAGAGGGTTCCATGTAAGGGAGTCCACGTGGGGGCTCCACGTGAAATGATTTAGGAAACGTATTTTCCGCGTGTTTTTCCGGATGTTTTAATGGCTGGGCGGCCCCAGCAGATCCTTCACGGAGGTACACTAAAATACCTGTTCGGCTATTTTAAAATCCGCATATTTTATTGTAGTAACTGTACATGGAATGCCTGGGGTATAGTATATACAATGAGTTCGTTCCAGTTCCTGGTCAGCTCATGACCCCCATAGGTACGATTGTTTAAATGCCAAAGAACACCCGATGTCGGGGTGATGTCGTCAGCGTCACCCACAACACAGCAATCCAACTGTTCGATTTGGCTCGAAGTGCCCAACCTACCCAGTCAGCAGATAAACCTCTAACCTTTCTGTGGAATTGGTTTCCAGACGAAGGAACGAAGAGGAGGAAAAAGATCAGCCTTGATTCTCGGAACTGAGCGAGTCAGCGAAGATGATAAGAGGTCTAAGCTCCAATGGGGAGTTTGGAGGCCGTGATTGTTTCAATTCCCTCCAGCTCTCTCATTCCCAAGGCCAAGAAAAGAGCTCGGATGCTTGGTTCCCTCGCTTCCAACAGGCAGGGCTAGCAGGGGCCCAGCCAGGGCAGCAGTGAGTACATCAGGCAAGGACTCTCATGTGGTACCTGTATTGACAGTCTGACATCACAATATATATGTATATATGTAAGTATAACAACTATATTTTTTAATAAGGTTGGATCTTAAACTGTAAGCCAGCAAACAACTGAGGGAGAGTGAATGGACATAGCCGTAGCCTCCTACGAAGAATTCTTAGTCTTTGTCAAAGTATATGCTAGCGCTTCTAATTTGTGTAGTTGTAGTCGTGGTGTTGGTGGTGTTGGTGGCAGTAGTAGTGGCAGTAGTGATAGTAGTAGCAGCAGGTTCAGTAGTAGTAGCAGCAGCAGTAAAGTAGTAGTAGCTTTGCAGAAAGTAGCAGACGTAGTAGCAGTAAACTCAAGGCTTGTTTCAGGAAAAGCTCGGCTACCAAGGATTTTGCGTGCTCAGCTACCAGCTCAACAGTAGACATCTAAGTTCAGCTTTGATCACGGATCTTCAAGGGCAGCATTAGCAGAACAGTAGAAACAAAGAAAACAGCTACAAGTTTTTTTGGTTTCGCAGGGCTTCAAGCTTGCACATGATTCCCACCCCACCCCCGTCCAGCAATTCATGACATCCATGACCACCCTGGGCTTGTACACCACCGAAGAATTGTTGGGAGATGGTCGGAGCAGTGGTTTCGGTGATTGCTCATAAGGTTTTGTGGTTCAGGTGTTCAGGCCAGGGGTTCACTACCTCCAAGTGAGAAAGGCAAGTCAAAACCCATAAATCCTTACTCATCAGGAAACGACTGCGCTGGCAGCTGGGTAACAACTCCTTTCTCATCAGCCCAAGGATAGGGAAAATAGCTGAAATCAGAGCATGCTCGAGCATCCTCGGGCATGCTCCCTTTGCGTTTGAACGCACCCATGCAGAGGCATGAGTTGGGAGTTGTGGGTGGTGGGTGGGTGTTTGGTCACACCAAATAAATACTTAGTCACAAATCCTTAGTCATGAGTTAGACGCCATAAATCCTTAGTCATCAGAACCTAGTAATTACCAGGATTCAACAAAACCCCCAGAAGAGGGTCAGCAAGGATGTTCAAAGGACACCATAGCGAAACAAAAGAAGGCTAAGCTAAACATATCTAAATATGTTTCATTCTGACAATAGCTAAACTGGCTAGGCTAACAATAGAAATCAATAAGCAAACCTGATTGCTTAGTATTGTATTGAAAAACAAAAACACACACTGCGCGAAAACCTTCTTCTATCCCCCCAAATGAATAAGGGGCTGGGAATACTTTCGGGGAAGCATTTGATTACAGTACTGTATTCCGTCCCGTATTGAAAGTTTAGGATGCAACATTAGGTATATAATTACATGTATACATTCTGAAGATATTGTCGAGTGTTGCTTAGTCTTAAAGGGAATCATCAGTGACCTGCCCAGACATGACACAACATGCTGCAATTTGGGCCACCAGCTGCAGCTACCCCGCAGGCAGCTCGGGCTTTGCGCGGCCACGCGCTCTTCGGTGCTGTGTTTCGTGGCCACACGCCCTCGACGATGGGCATCGAGTGGGAGGGAGACTGGGACTCCAGTGGCCATGAAACTCGGCCGTTGGTGTTGCTCTTCAAGCCCAAGGAGGAGAGATCCTTGGATGAGAAAATATTGCAGACATGTGAGCAGGAGCTACTGTGTGTGTGTGTGTTTTTGTCTTTGTCTCTGTCTTTGTCTCTCTCTCTCTCTCTCTCTCTTTTTGTGTTGAAACACGTTTAATGACGTTTATGCCTGGCATTATGCTGCAATGGATGGCCTCGAATGATTATCCAGGTTGTTTCCTGAGGGCCATCGGACTTGGCAGTGAGACTCGTTTGGCGCCCAGGACATGTGGAGTTCACTGGAGAGCTCACCTTGGAGAAGTTGTCGCACTTCTCCAAGGTTCTTAGCTTGCCCTTGCTCTCGCCCTATACCCCAGAGAGCCGACAGAAGTACATCGAACTCAAGGCCGGGCCGTACATCGAACTCCACGCCGCCGGCAGTGGGTACCGACGTGAGATGAAACGGACGGTTGGACGACGCGGGAAGACCGCGGGTGACGCGGACGACGGTTCGGGTGCCAAAGTGTTGGGGAGCCTCCCCCATTCACTTGGCTTCCTCAAAGACCATCTTCCAAAAGCGGTCGCAAAGGGTTTGGTTCCACATGCAACTCCTCAATATCAACTAAAACAATCTAAAACAGAGACAGTTCTTAATTAGGCCTCATGCTGGTTCCAGAGCTGCTCACAGGTCCCCTTGGCCATGCTTTGGTTGGATGGTGAGGATGAAGCTCACCCGGCCAGCCGTGCAGCCCGCGAGGCGCGGGACGGTGAGAACCCGGGCATGTTCCATAAGGACTAGCGATGGGGTGCTTCTAATCCTCAAAACTCCACCAAATTGGCTGGTTTCTCCACCAATCCCATGGTTTTCTTCTCCAACAAACTGGCCATATTTTGCCATGGCACAGCTTAAGTGACTGCTGGAAGTACATGAAAGCACTGCATCGTATATATGATTGCATCCTCACGATGCAGGACTGAGCCGTCACCCCATTCACCTTTGGAGCCCCACACACTCGTTCTGTCGGAGAATGCGTGGATCTTCAGGTTGCTCGCTTGAGCACCTCTACCGAGCCTCTACCTGTTTCGTGCTCAGCTTGTCATATAATGCCTCACTTGTTTCGTACAAAAGATGCCTTCCGAATTCCACCTTAACAGAAAGGGGTCCATCCAACCGTGCAACAGATCCACCGGCCGGGCTTGGACCATCGCCGGGTTTGGGTGGGCGCAAACCTGTGGACCACACGTAGTTCTTCAACTACTTGAGCTTTTGATCCAAGAATCCCTTGGAAGAAGCGGACGGTGGGCGAGACCTGGGACGTTGGGCGAGACCTGGGACGCTGGGCGAGACATGGGACGTTCCGTCCAGGTTGCGGAGCGCTTGGCGCATCGTTTCTCCGGGCAGTTGGTCTTCGTGACACTCAACACCACCCGCGATGGGCCCCTCGCGCGTTGGATCGGTGGAAGGTCGAAACGGGGAGGGCAGAAGCAACGACTGGAGGTGTGAGGGCGGTGTGAGTGGCATGGTCAGTTGCGAACGTTGCACCATCTTGGAACTGAAGATGATGGGATCGGGCTAGGCATTTACAACTTACAGGAACTCAAAGAGAACAACACATGAACCACGTCTTCTTTTTTCGCCATACCGCTGGTATGGCGACCATGCAGCTCATGGAAATTGTAGTGTCCCCTATCAAGAAATCTATAGTCCTGATGGTCCACAAGATTTGGAACCAGACGAGAGTGCACAATAGGTGCGCGGTATACCCAGGTCGGTGAACACAAGGCTTCCCCACTCAAAAAAGGGTCGGCATTTATGTTCTAAACTGAAGGAGTCAGGCGGAGTCAGATGGATGATGTAGGACATGATCCTTGTGATGGACTCGTTGAAGGTGGAAGCCATTGATCACCCACAACCGAATGGATCATGTAATGCGTTTCTGAGATGTGATATATTGTGATATCCACTCTATGACGAATGGAAATCCTTGGAAATCTATATGCTATATACCAATTGGTCCGAGAACCACCATTGGAAAGAGGTTCAGCCCACGGGTTAGATGAAACCCGGCGAACTGTATCATCCCAAGTATGGCAAAGGAGTCTTCCAAAATCCACCCAAAAACAGCGCGGCGTCTGACTTTGGCCCCGCCAAGAATCCATCTCCCCCCCCAAAGCCAAGAAACCATCCCAAAAAAACCACTCCCCCGCCCCAAATCCCCGCCCAAATCCGCCCAGTGCTTTACGTATTACGGAAGTCTCTGGGGACTGTTCCATCCGAGGTTCCTCTTGCGGCCCTTCGGCCTGGACCCGCGGGCGCCGCCCTTGTTCGGCCTGGCCTCCGAGGAGAGCACCGAGGCGCAGCGCTTCGCTTGGCCGCTGGGCCGGATGGAGCACCGAAGAGGTGTCAACTGGGTGCACCAGAGCCTACTGGTGTCGCCTATGCCGAGCATCCAGTTCATCCCAGCTTGCCATGATGGAGGTTCAGGTGCTTCACAAACAGCAGTGTTCACCAACTCAGACCAGAGTTGGGAGATAAAGGGTAAATTAATTCATGATTCATATGTTTAAGGTGAGCCAATGGCTTTGTTTGCATGGTGTGTTGCAGATAGGCTCGTGAGGCTTTGTGGTCCTCAGTGCTTGTGTGCTGCGTTTCAACAACCAGCTTCGACGCCATACCGATCCCAGAAGAAGCCTGATCTTCACTGATCAGTCTTAGACAGTGCATCCAGGCCAAACCACCACCAACCCGGCATTCTCTACGCCCAAGAAACTGGGTTTGGCTTTGGTATTCCTTTTGCACATGGGTCTTAGGCTTACCTTAGGACCTATAGGCTTGCCTTATACCAAATGGCTACACTAGAGAAGGCGATGGAAGGAGAGAAAGGGAGAGAGCTTTTAATTCCTTCATTGCCGAACTGGACACCCAGAAGCCATCATACATGCTCGGCCCTCCTTTCCAAGGCGCCAGACCGGAGACCATTGGCTGCAGCCAAGCTTCGAAGGCCTCGAGGCCTTTTGCCAAGCCTTTTTGAATGGCTCTTTGGAGGCGCACCCGGCGTTGGACGGCGTTGCGGTGTTCCACCGGGTCGGTGACTGTCAGATAGGGGATAGATGGCTTGGAGAGGCAGAGGAGTTGAAGAGGCGTTCAGGGTTTTTGTGGATGTGGCTGTGGTCTTCAAGCACAGCTAAAGACAAGCCACAAATGCAGGGCTTCCTAGCCTGTCATGTACTGTCTTCTAAACATCATAGGCCCGCTACTTGCAGGGTCAACTGATAGATCCTGAAGGGAAACAGGTCACAGCGGGGTGGGGTGCCAATGCCATCCCCAGGTTTTGCTCAGGGTGAATTTGTTTTCCCTCCTTCTGGGGAATAGTTTTTTTTTTCTCGCAGCATATCCAACATTTGCATGCCGCATGTCCATGTCAAGACGTTCCCATGCCAATTCAAGCACGACCAGTAACACCACACGACCACAAGGGGTTTTCTAGCTGGTGCTCAGCAGGGAGCCAATCCAGTCCTTCCCCATTCAACAGGGAGCCGTTCGGAGCTACCGGGAGTTCCCCAACCCCTTGGAGAACGTGGTGTCTGCCATGTTCCCACCCAGGACTTCTCACGACAGCCTTTCAGAGCCCCAGAACTCCGAGCAGTTTCAGTAGGGCTCACCCACAAAGTCCGCCAAAAGGCTGTACTACACTGGGCTCCAGTGAGATGGGAGTTGTGGAGCATAGTTGGGGCATAGATCGAGGCATAGATTCGCTCGGCACGTTCCGTCGCATTTGCACCGCCTCCAGTGCGTTTGTTGGTCTTAGGCGTCGCATGAGTCTGGCGTGCTGCCGGAGTCATACAAGTGGCCTGGGCCCGGGTCGGTCGAGGAGGCGCGGAGATGCGGAAGAGAAGCTTCCAGCGGTTTCCCGCGGGGTAGGGAGGGAGGAGGCAGAACGTCCGAGAAGCCATTGCAGAAAGCCTTCTGATGTGGGAGCCATGCGTGCCGTACAGCACATTGTTCATATATATTATATATATATATAGAGAGAGAGATAGACTATGTTTCAAATTTTGTATATGTCATACATGTTCAGGAGATGTGCAATATGGTGCAATCCTGGAGAAGAGTGAGGGTTTGAAATCGGATGTTCCCCCCACTCTGGAGTAGTGGTACGGCGAAAGAAAAGAACTGCAGCTTGGGGTCCCTTTCAAGCGTTTCAAGTTACTCTACCTTGTTCCCTTGCTCCTGGTGATGCACAAGTTATTCGGTGCAGCCCAAGTCTTGATACCTCAACTTGTGCACAGAAAGCAACAGTTCTTGGAAGTGAACTGGTGTCACCAGCCAAGAGTGAGATGCATTTGGCGCGACTCCCAGAACAACACAAGAGAAAGTACCCAGTCGACAGAACATGGCAGAACCACCAGTCGCCAGGTTGTTTGGACCACTTTTCGTTCTTCAGCCTCTTGGTTCTGGCGCACTTTGTGCCAAACGCTGTTTCACCATTTTTCACATGCATCCGAGCTGGGCTGGACACCATGACAAAAAACAAGGTCGACAAGAGTTTGTCCCACAACGAGTGTGGGTGGAAAACCCAGGCAAAGCAAGGTAGTAGCGAACATTCCTGGATGTGGACCCTGGGTGAAATCCAGAGCCTCATCAGGAATGGAAGCTTGGGTGGAGATCCCTGAGATGCGTGGTAAAACACGGACAGATGCATAGAGCAGATACTTTGACCCACGCATTGAAAGAGCAAGGTCACATTTCACGAGTTGCTCAGATGCTTTGGGCGATTTCCCATGCATTGTGCTCTTCCGTGCTTCAGAGGTCTCCATGCACAGCTGCACAGCTGAGGTCTCCAGACAGCTATATATTGGCATGGTTTTTCTTCGTAGAACCGTGTTTGATATACTTCAGCCGTTTCTTCGGGGCAAGAGTGCCGTCCCGGTGCCGCCGCCAGCTGGGCATGGCCAGTTGCCGCCAGCGCATGCCAGCGCAGCTCAGCTCATGAGTCACGCGCGTGTCATGCCCACCGAGGTGCGGGAGAGCGAGCATTTGCTGCTGGAGCTCTACTCGCCTTACCGACCTCAGCATCGAACTCACCTGGTGGTGTCCCGGACGGAGCAGTGTTTCGCGGGTTTCCCGGGACTCGTTGGCCTTCCGGGGGAGGTATTTTGAATGGGGCCGGGGCACGGCTTGAAATCGATGGTGGGTTCCATTTTGGGCAGCTCAATAGTAACGTAATGTAACGTACAACAAGACATTGAGGGATGGATGGACAGTGGAGTACACCTTTTGTTTGCTTTGTTGATGTGTAGGTGGCGACAGGAGCCTGGCGTCCTGTCAAAACTGGGCAGGTGAAACATGGAGACCAGATCCGCCCCTTCGCAACCAACTCTTTTGGAAACTGCAGAATGTCAAGAGGTTTTAAACCAAGGCAAGTCACTCATCACTAGACCTTTGGAGATACTGAAGGTGTTTTGAAGTGTAGGTGGGTTCTTTATGCTAGTTTGATTCTGTGATGCGTATTTGGCCAGCTGTTTCAGATTATTTTCGTATTGTTTGTGTATATATATATATATTTGGATGGGTATACTCTGGTTGCACAATTAAAATACTTCAGTGGACAGGAGCTGTCTACATAAGCTAGCCAAATGCATGTAAATAGAAGGTAGCCTGAAGAGTCCTTTTTGACTGTCTTTTTGTCAGCTAGTAAGTAGTATATACCATTTGTTTAGCTTTGTGTTGCCTTTGTTTTATTGTTTTGTTGTCTTTGCCGTTATTTTGCATTTTCTACATTTTTCAAACTTGAATCCGTCTTAACAAAATAAGTGTCTAATACTATGGTATCTACTACTGTAGAGCTGCTTGTTTTGGGGTCATGTGCCATTCACTGTGTGACCCGGTGTTGAACTGGAGCTCTACTGTTCTGAATTGGCCGTTCTTTTCAGCTATACCGTCACCCGACTTCGGGGCGGGTTCACCCATCCACCCACCTTGTTTGGACCCTTGAAATTCCAGTGAGAGCGGATACTCATGCCGCCCTAGGTTTGACTTTCTGTGATGTTCACCCATCCACCACACATCACACAACATCAAACACACACCCCAAAAAAAAGGAAGACGAAAGAACAGCCCCCAAGCCAACATGTTGCCTTGGGCTTCGGCACGTGCCGCACACGGTGGCTGCAGGTCTTAGACTTGGTGGCAGAAGCCTTGGCCAAGCTCACCACCATCAAGGACGCGACCTTCGACTACACACAGAGAGATTGAGAGATCGTGTGTGTGTGTGTGTGTGTGTCCAACCCTGGACAAAGGGTCTTTCACCACCACTCTTTCCACTTTACAAGGGCAGGGGGCTCACGGGTCTGTTCCTGGCGTGAGCCAACGAAGCTCCAGCTTCAGACTAGGATATCGAAAGAGGACGCTCTTTCGACGTACCTGCAACCCGAACTTTTGACCACGCTGTCTCATTTGCTTTGTTTGATTCCATGGTTCTTCATGCTACCTAACCCCAAACAGGTTTCCTACCGCTGCCTTCAGCCGCCGAAATTCAGCCGCGCTTCTGCAGATGCTAAACATTGTTAAACATTTCAGTTGCGCTGACCTTTTCACCTTACGTTTCCCTCACCTTCCTTCCCAGCGTGGTAACTGAGTTCACTGAATACAAATTGTCGAAGTGTGTCCCGCTCAGCCGTCCCACTCGGGTGCTGAGTGTGATCCCCGTCACAGGGGCGCCGATTTTGCATGGGAAAGCAACCACCCCAACGCACCACCGCTCACTGGACTCTCACAGGAAGGCACCGACACCCTCACAGAATCAACCGCCACACCGGCCGCCGGGCCAAAAAACGGTTCTTGAAGACTACTTCAGACTCCAACTTTCAGATCTCAGATCTCAGCATTCAGTTTTCGTTTCATGTCTTCCAATCATGTGCGTGTTTCTATGTTTGCTATGTTGCTGCCGCGATTCTTTCATCGACAGAACTCAAGGATGGGCATTACAGCTCTTCAGCTTAATTCGAGATGCATGAACACACACCTACCAACAAGCTCACATCTAGCACCACCTTACAATACACTCACCCTTGACACCAGAGATGACACCTTCAACAACAACAAGACATTACAACTCGGCACTTCCCCGCTGCTTTTTGCTGCCGCGCCGCGCCGCGCCATAGCTACGACCACGACATGCAGTTTCCGTGGCCCTACGCTCACACCACGCCACCACCATTACCTACCACACAACCTCAACCCACATGGCCGATGCCACAACCATCAACTGCACCCACTTTTCCCCCGACACAACCATCGGCATACCCTCACTCACAACCACAACCATTTCAACCACCACCGTTTTTGTCCAACCCTACCGCCACTGCACTGACCTACGGCACACCATCCACTTGGACTTTTGTCCAACCATGTCACGTACCACCGCAGCCCACACATCCAACTCCAGTTTTTCCGACAGCAGCACCTCCCCCTTCATACCTGCTGCCACCACATTATCCCACACCACCGGCTGAACTCCCTCCCCCCACTACACTGACACAACCCCCTCCAACACAGCAACAGACTGCGATTGCCAATCATCCATCCACAGACCCCCAATGCGCCAACCCCCAGGGCGTTTGGCAACCTTATTCAGCTTTTCCCCCCGTCACACAGCCTCCACTCCAACCGTTGCCCCCGCCACCGCCTCCACAAACCATCAACGCCTCAACACCAGCCCAACCTCCACTTCAACAGCAGCCACCATCGGATCCAACACCACCAATCCAACCCATCCCCACGACTGCCCAGAACAATCCATTACCAGTCCAAAACACCCCCCCACCAGCTACCGTATCCCAACATTCAGCATCCCCATCGCTGGTATCTGCCACACCAGCGCCTGGATCTTCACTACCAGCACCAGACAAACCTGACACCACTGCCTCACCAGCACCGCAACCACCTTCCCCGCAACCACCACACAGCAGTCGCCGCCACCACCACAAGAGCCGACGCAAGTCCGACCATCACCACCGAGCTCGCCACCGCCACCGCCGCCGACATCACCATCACCGCCATTCCAAACATCACAGCACAACCCGGCGACGGCGGTCGCCTTCAACATCCACTTACACATCCAGCCTTATGCCATCCCGCAGTCGCTCGCCACCACAACCCATTGATCTACGCCCTAACACCGAACACTCCAACCCAGACCCCTCTCAATTTCCCACCACAGCCGTCCTCCGTCGCCCAATCAACCGTTGGCGACCCCCACCCAACTTTCACACCTTTACACCTGCAGACCAAATCCTGGAATGGCTCGAATTCCATGCCACCCAACTCGACAATCCCAACCGACCACAACACCAGTACATTGCCAATATCCTCACAGACTGCAACATCACCTACAAGGAGATCACCGATTTCCGACAATATACCCACGCCAAGTGGAACGACACAACTCACCAATACGACCAATTCCAGTACTACGCCATTTCACTTCCCTTCCTCAACACCAAAGCCACTACACCAGAGCCACCTGCGGTTTCCCGCGCCACATCAACCCACCGGGAAGTCGCCCACATCAACGCAGGCCACACAGGCCCCGTCGGCAACATTTCCAACATTCTACGCCAAGGCCGATTTTTACCCAGCACACTCCACTTTGCCAACTACCCTGGATTTTTGCCCAGGGCGTTCGCATCACCCACAACCAACCCCATGACCACAACGAACTTGCCCGCATCATCCACAACACCTGGCAACTCCACAAGAATTCCCATTCCCTTATCATCACACTCCTTGCTTGGGGTGCTGCCACAAAATATACCTCTGGAGGTGAGGAACACGCCATGAACCTCCTTAACGACCACCATGGTGCAGTCTTTCATCAGAAGGGCCGCTGCTGGGTGATCCACCCGGACCACGCCATTGTCAAAGGACTGGCCTGGTCCACCAACTCCACTCCACCGGACCCATAACACCACTACCACACATCTACACACCACTACCACCTCCACATCCTCTTTTGGTCTCACACCACCACCCAACCTTTGCTGTAGCAGCAAAAAAGAGCCTCCTGCAGCGGCTACGCGAATTTTGAACCCTCAATTTTTCCAGCTCTGCAATGTTTGCTGTAAACATCTTTCTTCGAATTGTACCGGCTGTTTTGATGGAGTATTTCACATGTCAGATTCTCATGTACTTGATTGTCCAACCGGCATTGCATATTCGCACTTTTGCCTGTGGGAATTTGATGCTCGCTTAATTCATATGCACGGCCTCGTGATGACGCGCTCCCTCAGACTCGCCGCTGTCCGGCTGCTTTGGCGCGCTGCCGCAGCAACCTGTGACGATTCTTAGCTACTGTACACCCCTACATCTCAGAATCATGAGCAGCACACCGACACCTCTACAAAACGACACCTCAACTCTCATACACAGAACCGCAGTGGCACTTTCGCAGATGCAAAACCTGCTCCGACAAGCAACAGATATTGTAGCACACCTCCACACTGTTTTCCTCCACCACTGCCACCAAGCGGACCCCACTTTCCGCCAACACTTTCAGCCACTTCCAACTCCGCCCAACCACCCTATACGTTTACCATCTACCACCTCATCCTGTGACTCAGCACCATCCAGACCACCCATCCGTTTACCAGCACCACCCTCAAAAGACTCAGACGACACTCCAACAACAACCCCAGATCCACAACCCACCACAACACGCAAGCGGAAGCAACCACCCCCACCACCACTCAACCGACAGGCGGACTGGGATGCTTGGGACGGCGACGCTGACTGTCGCCTGGTCGAACTCAAAGAAAACCCCAGACTTCGTCCCAACTGGACCACTGTGGCTCGCCGAGTGGGTTTCTCCGTTGAGCAATGCCAAGCCCGATGGCAAGAACTCAAAGACATGCAACGTCAGCAGGACCAGCAACTCTTCTCCACACCACTACCAACCGCACCACCAAGACAAGCACCTTCCCCCTCACCAACACCCACATCACCAGCAGTTTCCCCAGCACCACGTTCACAACCGGATTTCTCCCCTTCCCCCATAACAACGCCACCGACTTCACAACATCAAACGACTCCTGCTGCTGCGCTGCTGCCGCCGGCTGCTGAGCGGGACCTTAGTGAAGACAGTCATCCGGAGAAATCTCCACTTACGCCCGTGGTCAGTTATTTCATTTGATCCGTTTCACCCACCTTTCTTTACGGCGTGCCGCAGGACAAATCCACTGACCCGCACCGACATTTGGTTTTTCACATCCAATCTACTTTCACCAGGTTGCCCAACTTCGAGTTGTCAGTTTTCAGGCTCACTTCAGCTCCGCAGCCTTTTGTACGCCATTTTATTCCATCAATTGTCATGGCCAATCCTCGCGCTCGCCCTCATAGCAACCCCGCCGATACAGAACACTACCTCCCACAGCGCCCTCCGAGCTGGCTCCAACCTTCGATTAGCACTCAGCCCGATTTTCAATCCCTCAACGGCTCTTTGGACCTCCTCTCTCTGGTCAACCAACACCTCCGCCGTCACCCATTCCACACTGAACCTATGCCAAGCCAGACCTATTTTCAAGACCAGAGAGCATACAACCTCCTTTACCGAATGCGCGGTGACCTGATCTTGCTGGACCGCTTGATCGATAACCTCTCCCAGGCTCGTCGGCTCCTTCAATTTGTTACCACCGCCCCCGGGCTCCCAGGACAATACCGCATCAACCCCACAGCCGCACTCTCCAGCAGAAACCTGGCCATTCTACACAACATACCGCCAGGTTCTCCACTACCACCCGGACTTTCCAGCCGTTCACCCTCTCCTTCACCACGTACCCCACCACAAGACGCAGAACGCCTACACTCATACTGGACAGGCCCCCCACCACAAGCCACCCCGGCAACCCACATCAACGCTACCACTCACACCAGGGAACGCTCACGGTCCCGCGACAACCTCTCACACCGCATTGGCTAACTATAGCAACATCCAACCTCCAGCTCTACGGCAGCCGCTGCGCCGTTTGCCAACTATGAGACGGCATCCCAGCCTGCGACTACTGTTACATTTTGTTTTTCAAGTCTCACTGACTTTCTCGGCGAGCGGCAAAATTCAGCCATCCAACAGAACTTCTTTTCACACTCACACTGCCGAATGGTTGTTCTCATTTGCTTGCCATCATTTTCCCGCAGCCATTTGACCGAACTGTTTATTCATAACCGTCCGC